TCTACTATAAAAGATACTATTCTATTAACTGCGAATATAATATCGAACCTCGTATTATATAGCTAAATTAGCTTTCCGAGCAATTCTATATATTTTAACTATTCGTTATAGTTTAGAGGCCGTCCCGGTTCCTTAACGAGCTCCCGTATAGCTCTAGGTCCTATAGGGGTTATATACTTTATTAAGTCGTTATAGAGAAATTCTACTACGATTTCCTTTATAAATTATAATTAATTAATTATTAGCTTTCCTTTATACCTTTAAATCTAAATTCCGAGAATATTCTCTGCTTCTCTAAGGTCTTTTATCTTAAATCTTCCCTTTAGCGTTTCCTTAACCCGTTTAATAGTAACCTCGTCCCCCCCTATAATTATAAAGTTATTTATATATACGCCGATAATTACCCCCGACTCTATATATCTAAATATTATCGGGTCTACTATTATCGGTAAGAAACTAATCTCCTTAAGATATTCTAATATTAGTAAATACTATACCCTTATAGCTTGCTTTAATCCGTATAAACTCTTTAGGATCTAAACGTATTTCCCAAAATATTACTAGAGCTTAGTTAGTACTTTTATAAAGATCCTTTCCTTTAGGTCTACTATAAGGAACGTAGCTATAGTATCTATCTAGTATACCTTCTAGCCTTTCTTCGCCGCTAAAGCTAGAATAATCCTTATTATATCGAGCTAAATTTTAGGTATAAAGGTTTCCTTATAATTAATCCTATATTTCTATATAAACCCTCTCGCGACTAGACGTACTTTATACTATAGTATCTTCCCTTCTTTATCTTTCTTATAATTAAATATAAGCTTAGCATTAACTACTTCTTCTCTATATACGTTAACTTCGTTTATTTCCTCCGAGAATATCTATTATTAAATAAGATTCTAAACTTCCTTATCTATAGCTCCTACCTATTAATCCTTCTTACTGCTTTCTATCGCCTATCGGAAGGTAAGCTTTTTTAGGTCGAAGTCGTATAAGTCTATATTAGGCTAGAGAAGCGTCCTTACTACTATAGCTCTTTCCTTCCTACTACTCTCCCCTCGCTTCTTTAGACGTTCTACTATACGCTGTTCTTCTCTTTACCGCTATTCTAGCTCTACTCGCTGCTTCTCTGCTCTTTTAAGTGCTATAGCCTCTCGTTAAATCTAGGATCTTATTTTCGGCAGACTCCTTTTAGGAGAGGTTATATCCGCCTCCCCTATATTAATAATAATTATATCTCCTTAGAGCTCTTCCTCTAAATCTATAGTATCTTAGTCGGTTAGGTTCCTATCCGCTACTTCTCTAGTATCCTCTCTAGCTTCTATAGCTTCCTAGTCTATAGTCCTATCCTTAACCGAATCTTTAGTATTAGAGTTATTATTAGTAAGCTTACCTTACTTTATTTTCTCTTCCTTCTTATCGTTATACTACGATTATAATTCTTAGCTAATTTTATTATCTATATACTTACTCTTATCGAATTCTATAAATCGAACCTTATAGACCTTCTTATTAGCTAGGTTCTAGATTAAATAGATTTTATCTATCTCCTCTTTATATCTAATAAAAACTCCTTACTATACTCTTTTTAGAAGCTTTATTCTCTTTTCTTTAGGAATAAATACCTAGGTAGGATATCCGAATACTCTTAAGTACCCTAATCTTAGCTTCTCTCTACGCTATAACTCCTATAGGCTTTTAGCTATTCTCTTAATAACTCCCTTATTTCTTAGATAGGCCGCTATTATATTTAAAAACTCCTAGTATACTACTAGGATGTCTATTTCGTAACGTATAGTAGACCCCCTCTTTAATATAGTTTGTATGCTCCTCTTAGAGATACTATTCCCCTCTAGGTAATAGCTTACTATTAGTTCGGTCTAAATAGCTCTCCCTATATAAAATACCTTTATTGCCTTATTTAGAAACTCCTTTTCGCGATTAAAGCATATCGCCTTAAGCTTTTCGCCTTTTCTATACTCGCGATACTCTGCCTCTATAATAACTACCTAGGCTTTAATCTTATTAGTAATTCTCGTTTTATCTCTAGAGAAATAAACCTAAACTCGCTTAGTAGCTTAATCGGTAATTATTAGTATATACTTTATTCCTTAAAGTAATAGCTTAACTAGCCCTTAAAGATCTATATAGACTCTCTCTAGCTTTTCTATTACCGTAGATATTAGCTCCCTTAAGACCTTTCTTATTATTTTAGCCTCGGTATAGCTTAAGTAAAATAATAGGTAGAATAAGTTATCTCTAAGATTATCTATTACAGCGTTTAGTTTACCCTCTATATACTTTCTAGGGTATCCTAGCCTAGTATATAGTAGTCTTTTAGGTATCTTTAAGATTAACTTTAGCGCTACCCCGTTATCGCTATCCTTTTCTTAGATTATATAGGCTCGGTGCCCTCTTATCTAGCTTAAGCGCTATACCTTTTTATATCTATAGCTAAATAGCACCTCCTCCTAATTTCTTATTACCGTGACTATCTTCCTTAGAGAGTCGACGATAATATATACTCCCTTATCTTCTAGTTCACCGACTAATAGTAGGCTACTCGTTGCCTCCGGGATATAGTATACCCTACGTACTATTATCGACCTTACTCTTCCTTTCTATAAGACGTAAAAGATCCTTATATCTCCTTTCCCTCTTAAACGAACCTCGGAGCCGTTTATAATCTTAATACTTATCTTTATAGGGGATAACTTTAAGATAAATTAGTATTCCCTTAGGGTAATATAGACGGAAGTATAGCTATCGAGATACTATTATAAAGGGGCTATTACTTTTATATTCGGAAGTAAGTAGGTAGATCTCTTAGATTTACTACTACTATCTTTAAGGATCCTAACCGCGTTTGCCTTTTCTTTACTATCTATAGCCTCTCTTGCCTTCGCTTTTTTAGAGGCTAGCTAGGTCTTCCTTACTTTAGTTTAGTACTAAATTATATAATTATACTTAAAATATATACTACTATAAGACTAGTACCCCCCTGCCTTTTTTAGATACTCCTCCTTACTATTATCGCCGCTATCCTATACTTTAGACCTATTATTCTATTTATTCTATATACTACGGCTATAACCCCGCGAATTATACGGTTTCTCCCTTAATTATAGTATCGATAAGTTCTAACTCTTTACTTTCTAAAAAGCTCTATACCTTTTCTATTATTAACGTCTTTATCGAAGCGTTTAAGATCTTAACTATAGTATTAAAAGCGCCGTCTATACTTATTTATAAGAAGTAAATTAATAGCTATTTATAGATAAAAATATCCTTATCTTAGCTATTAATCTAAGCTCGAAGTCGCTTTAGGTCGTCGACCTTCTCCTATATAGTTCTATTCGTCTACGTACTAACGTCGTATAGTATTCGGATTAGCTATCGAAGGCGCGCTTTATTCGATATCGTATATCGCTTAACGAGGGACTAATAAATTACTCGTAGATCGGTAAGATAGTTAACTAAGTTCTTATAGATCTAGTTAATACTCTATTATATTTTTATTCTCGTAAGAGAGATATTTTTAATATCTATAGCATTCTCTCCTAGTATTAATAAACCTAACGATTCCGCTATTGCCTTACCGGTAACGTAGCTTATAAGATCGTTACTTAATAAGCTATCTTTAAGATCTATCTTCTAGCTATTAAAGGAGTCTCTTCTATTAAGGATAGTTCCTTTATAGTCTTTCTTGCCTATAGTGCCGGGTCTTTACTATTAACCGTCGATTCTTAACGAAAAAGTGTTCTTATATACCGAGTTTAATCGTGCAGTAGAAGCATAATAAAAGCAACCGGGTATATAACCTATTGCGATTAAACTTACTTCTATTTAATAGGCTTTCTAATTATACGCGTATAGTTTGTTTAAACTATATATTGCCTATATATTGTTAATAAACCTATACTATACGGAATTATCCGTATAACTATATATTGCTATACGCGGTATAAAGTTCCTCCGAGGTTAAAATTCTTAGTAAGTAGACACTTAATCTTATTTAGTAGGAAGAATTGCCTGCCGATATATATTAAAAAAAAGCTATCGCGATAAAACTTACGTGCAACTAACGTTTAGTAAGGTTTTAATAAGTTATAAAAATTTAGTAATTTAAATTATATAGACGGGTAGAGATAGCGTGAGAACGTAGATCGCCTCCTTAACCTTTGCTAGATAAAAACAGAGGATTCCTTATAAATATAGCTAAAGGAGTGTAGGGTAATCAACGTTACTTAGACCGTTACCCGGAAACATAATTCGGAAGCTAAGAGTGAATTGCGTATAGAATTAAAAATGCGATCGTAGGTGAAAGTAACGTTAGATACTTAAGTTGAAGGCCATATTTAGTTTAATCCGTGCATTCCGCGACTCTCGTGGTGAGTTCTCTCGTTAAGTAGTTTAGCTAACGACAATTTCTCTATTAAAGATAGATAGCGTCGAGACGGATACGGAGGTCATAAGTAAATAACGTCATTTCTCGTATAGGCAATATATAGTTTATTTCACTATATAAGAATAAACCATACACCATAAACCATACGGGTCCGTATAGCATATGGCGTATGGTTAGAAAGCCTGCTATTCAATTCTGTCTGACAGCTCTCAACATACATATATACATAGTGGCACGTCCGTGCCACTATCCAGTGACTCACCACTTGTAACTGCTGCCTAAACATGTCTTGGTCCATGTCTCATATCAAGTCAACACTACCCCCTTAGCTTATGAGTGATTTTTTCGATATAAGCGTCTTGGGTCAGCCAGATCGTCTTTCGGGCTCGGTCCCGTAGGATGTGGATACCTAGGAACCAACGGGGCTCCCCTAAAAGACTCATCCGATAGCGTTGCTGTAGTCCGACCATAGCTTCCTTTGCTATCTCTTTGTCTTCCTTCCTATAGGCCCAGATGAAATCGTCCACATAAAAGAAGACTAGCACTCCAGCTTTCCGCATTACACAAGGTTCTTGTGGAACCTTCTCGAAGCCTAGAGCCTCGAGAGACCCTGTGAGATGCTGTTGCCAAAGAAGAGGAGAGCGGCGTAGCCCATAGAGAGCTTTTCGAAGACGAAGGACTCTTCCGGGCTTCGTGAATCCAGGGGGCATCCTAATAAAGACCACCTCGTCTATCGGGCTGTTGACAAAGGCGTTGACTGCATCCATCTGTTCGAGCTCAAGGTCGAATTCGGCTGCTATAGCCATCAGGGCGCGGAAAGATAGGCCGGCCAAAGTTGTGGCCCTCGTAGGAAGATCCCCTTCCTTCTGCTGGTTCCCACACACAACAAGGCGTGCCTTGCACTTTTGAAGGAAGCCATGCTTGTCAGTCTTGTAAACAAAGACCCATTTGCACCCTAGGACCTGCTTTCCGGCTGCCTTCTTCCAAGGGACCTCTTCGAAGGTGCCCATCTCTTCGTGAGACTGGAGATGGTCCCGTTGGGCCTTCGTGAATTCTTCACGGAAGGGATGCTTTTCAAGCTGCCGAAGTGTCTGCGGGAGGTCGGGAAGGTCCTTCTTATGTGGCCTAGCCTTCGCCTTAAACAGCCTTCCAGCTGTAAAATCTCCGTGGATCCCGTCTTCTATTGGCTTCGGGAAGAAATCCTCGAATCGGTCCTTGGGCTCCTCGAACGGCTCTTCCGATCCTACCTGCACAGATGGTCCTAACGCCTGAAAGGTGCCTGCCCCCACCCCCTTACGAGAAGGCGACGTCTGCAGCCGAAGAAAAGGAAGAGGTTTTTCCCTTTAAAGGGCCCCCTATTTTGATTGGGTTTTTCCCTTTAAAGAAGGCCCCCTTTCTTATAGGACTTTCCCCTCTTTAGGCCCCTTTTCCTTAAGTAGGTCTGAAAGAGCCTAGGGACCCGAAAGGGCCCCTGCTTTCCTCGAGTAAAGGGAGAAGTGCAGAGCTAAGAACCTCCTCTATACGCTCACCAGCCCGAAGCCGTATTAGCTATGCCCTTAAGGGGCAGGCCATAGCTAAGGGGGTGTGTCGCGAAGCGTGGCCTGATTTCGCAGTTCTCGGAGATATCCCTTGGCACGAGGGACCAAGGAAGCTGAAAAACACCCGGTGTGAAAAACAGGTTTAAAGAAGGAGCTAAAAAGAGGTGCAGAAAGGAGGGTGGGGGCATGAGGGGAAGCAGAAGTGGCGATGGCTTCCTATAGAGGTGGCGAGAGATAAGACGGATATGCCGGCAACGGCTGGAAAGGAAGGGAAAAACCGGCAAAAAGCTCGGTAGTTAAAGGGACATTAGGGGCTTCTTTAAGCAGGATCTTCTTTGTTAATTGAGATGCTAGACGGGTATAAAGAGGGGCGTTGGATAGAGGAAAGAAGGACAATCAAGGCAATACAACAATCACTCCCCTACTGCAATTGCTGCCCCCGTAAGATTCAAACATCTCTGCCCTGCCTGTCCGACCCCTTACTTCTACTTTTACCTTCGTGCATTTTATATGCACTTCTCGCATCTCTCTTCGCGAGAAAACTAGCTCTTAAAAGAAAGAATAAAGCTTATAATATAGAATAAAGAGTATCCCTTAAGAATACTAGAAATATAATAAACTCTTTAAAAAAGAACTTAAGATAGGGTTACTTAAATATAGCTAATAAGACTATAAAATTTATCTTAAGGATAGAATAACGCTAACGTTTTATAAGATCTATAACTTAAACGAAAAGTAACTATAAACGCTATATAACTACCTTAATAAGAATCTATAAAAGGGATATATATAAGTATTAATATCTAAAGTAAGCTACTTAGTTATATTTATTTTAAAAAAAAATAGTAAGCTATAACTAGTTATTAACTATAAACGCTTAAATAATATTATAATAAAGAACCGAATACTATTCTTATAAAGAGAGATATAAGAAGTATATATAAAATATATAAAGGTAAAAGTAAAAGTAAGGGGTCGGATAGGTAGGGTAGAGATATTTAATTCTTATAAGAGCAGTAATTATAGTAGGGAAGTAATTATTATATTACTTTAATTATCCTTCTTTCCTTTATCTAACGCCCCTCTTTATACTTATCTAGTATCTTAATTAATAAAGAAGATCTTACTTAAAGAAGCTACTAATATCCTTTTAACTACTAAGCTTTTTACCGGTTTTTCCCCTCCTTTCTAGCCGTTGCCGGTATATCTATCTTATCTCTCGCTACCTCTATAAGGAGCTATCGCTACTTCTACTTCCCCTTATACCCCTACCCTCTTCTCTATACTTCTTTTTAGCTCCTTCTTTAAAACCTGTTTTTTAGCTTCCTAAGTCCCTTATACTAAGAGATATCTCTAAAAACTACGAAATTAAGCTATGCTTCGCGATAACTATTACCGCTTATATCGGAACTATAAGATCGACTATATAGTAAAAAATAGTTTATAGCCCTTAACCTTAAAGGCGCCTATAATTTAATACGTATAAAAAAGGGATATAAATAGATAATAGCCTTTAAAACGAAATTTAAACTATTTAAATATCTAGTAATACTATTTAAACTTATAAATATACTAGCTAGCTTTTAATAGATAATTAATAATATCCTATATAAATACTTAGATATCTTTATAGTAGTATACCTAGATAATATCTTAATCTTCTTAAATACCTTCAAGGAATATAAGAAATACGTTTATAAGGTACTCTATATACTTTAAAATATAAAGTTACTAGTTAAACTAAAGAAAAGTAAGTTTTATATATAGGAAGTAGATTTCCTTAGATATACGATCTTACTAAAAGAGATATAAATATAATAAGATAAGATTAACTTAGTTAAAAATAGCTAACGATAAAGAATATTAAGGATATATAGAGTTTCCTAGGATTTATAAATTACTACTAATAATTTATTAAAGATTTTAAAAAGATTATAGTATTATTATATAACTTAATAAAGAAGGGAAAAGGATTTATATAAGACGATAAAGCTTGTCACACATAGGATATCAGCCTCCAACAGTCTGACCCCCTATTCGCACAGTCCGTTTCCACATTTCCCCACAGAAACTTCTAGGAGGCATCATCAACGCATCAGTGGCTTCCAGATGATCCGATCAGATGCTTCCATTCACTACCATTCCCTTCCATTCTCATATTCAGGCAGTCTATAAAGATCTCGCCTCTTTCCCACCTTAGATAGCAGAATCAAGAGTCTTCCAGTCCCTGATCTTTATGCCCACTTGCTCATCCTCCGTGCGATAGTTATGAGCCCGGTCTGCCATTGACTGGGTATCTTATTCTCGTTCATTCCGCTGCGCAGAATAGCTTCCACAATGAGCTCAGCTCTAGATCTTGATGGCTCTTCCAAGGGCACCGTGCTCAACGGCCCTTGCGACTGGAAACAATGGATTTCTATCATCAAGAAATTCGCCACGTCCCACAGTCTTTGGGACTTTCTGGACCCTGCCGTCAAGGAGGGTAAGCCGGTTCTTCAGCAGCCAGTTGAACCAACATTCCGACAAATCAACCACGAAGCATCTGATCTCGTGGATCTGACCTCGGAGGAATTTCGCCGTCTCGAATTCCTCCACACCCAATACCGCTCGAAGCTTCAAGGGTATAGGGATCAAGTGAAGGCACTCGCCAGCCTTCAACAACACATCGTCAAGACCATCGGCAACTACTACAGCACCATTGCCGAGGAACACGACGTTGCAAAGCAACTTGCCTTGCTTCAGGCTCGTGTGGCCCCAACCGACTGGGCACTCGAGAGGAAGTTGTTCAGCGTTATCGTTCCACCCTTCAGTCGCCAAACAGGACCAAGATCGAAGCTTGGGTCACCCAATGGCAGAAAGTCCTCACTGAGGCAAAGCAATTAGGGCTTCCTGATGTCCAGGACCTTCGCCCTACCCAAGATTTCCTACAGGCTGTTTCGTCCATCAACGCCCCATTCACAGACTATTGGGTCAACAAAATGGAAGACGAGGCCGTATTCGGCAAGCCTGATTGGAAGACGGACTTCCCGGACGGCATTAAGATCAGTGAGATCTTTGAACGAGCTCACCGAATCAAGGCCGCCAACAACAGCAAAGGATCATTCGGAGCTGCCTTCCAAGGCAAGGGAGAGAAATCGGAGAGGAAAGAGGACAAGCCTAAGTGGTCTTCAAGCAAGAACGCTGATGGTGTTCCTATGTGTGTCTGCGGAGAATATCACCGCTTCGTAGATTGCTTCTATCTCATCAAATCAGCTCGGCCTGATGGCTGGACTCCTGATCAGAAGGTTGAGAAGAAGATCAAGGAAATCCTCGACTCCAATCCATGGGCAAAGAAGATGACGGAGAAAGCACAAGACTTCAAGAAGAAGGAAATGGAGAAATCGTCCGACTCCTCCGTTAAAGGCACAGCGTTTGCCGGTCTTCTACCAGCTCCTGACAACACACCGCCTCCTCAACACCTCCATCAACCAGTTTCTCGACGGGAAAGGCAGTCTACCCGCTGTATGACTCCTTTATCCTTGATTCCGGATCAGACACACACATTTGCAACAACCGATCCCGTTTTCTTGACTACACCGCCCTTGCAGAGCCAAAAGAGCTCTTTGCAGGCGATAGTCAACTTCAGATCCTTGGCTACGGCACAGTCCGTATGAAGCTTGAAGAAGGAGGACTTTTTCAGCTCAACGAAGTTGCCTTCGTGCCAAAATTCCACACCAACATCGCATCCTCGACCGCTTTCTTGCGAAGGGATACAACTGGAATCCACTATCTGGACGCGTCTCTAAAGACGATCAGATTATATTTCATACGAAACGCCGCTTTCGTCAACCGGTCATCGAGTTCAACCCGATTAAGGAGGACTCTCACGCCTCCAATTTCACATCTTCATCTGCACCTCGCACAGTGAAAACAGCAGATGCTACGCTTTGGCATAAGCGCCTAGGTCACTTGAACGCTCAAGCCCTAGAGCATCTTGTTGAGAACACGACGGGTTCGAAGATCAAAGGCCCAGTTACCATCGATTGCACCGCGTGTTCCTTGGGAAGGAAAGAAGGTCGTCTCGCCGAACCCTCAAAACCGAGCCCCAGACCATTCTGGAGAATCTACGTTGATATCTTCAGTATGAACACCTCATTCAACGGCAAGGAAGCTGTTCTTCTTATCAAAGATGAATTTACAAGCATGATCTTCATCTACCTTCTGAATGACGCGACACAAGGGTCCGTTATGACTGCTTTGAGAAACCACGAGGCAATGGTTCAACGCCAATGGAATCTCAACATTTGCATTATCCACCGTGATAACGATCGTTCTCTTCAGAGTGCGTATGAGAGCTGGATCGAGGAAAAGGATTCAAGATGAACCTTCTGCCCTTACACTCCCGCTCAAAACGGTTCTGCAGAGCGATCTGGGGGGGTAATATCTGCCCAGGCCAGAACAATGGGAATTGATGCCAATTTACCATCTGATCTTTGGCCAGAGACTTGGAAAGCAGCAGTGTTTTTGCACAACAGATCGCCCATGCAGAACCACAGCTTCCGAACGCCTTTCCAGCTGCTTCATCAGTGGCTGCGAGACAACAACAGAGACATAGGCTACCAGCAAGACCAGCCTGACATCACGTTTCTCAAGGCATACGGCTGCAGAGCCTATCCTTGACACCCCAGGCCCTTCAGAACAGACAGAAGAAGGACCTAAAGACCGACCCTCACACAGAAATCGGTTATCTCGTTGGATATGATTCCACGAACATTTTCAGGATCTGGATTCCGTCCACATCAGAAGTCCGAAGGGTCCGAGATGTGACCTTCAATGAAAGCATCTTCTATGACGGAAATGATCAGCCACCAGAACCTATCCCGCAGCGCGTGGAAGTACAGCTTCCAGCCCACATCGAGGACGAGTCGGATTACGAGGAAATCCCCACTCAAATCGATGAACCTGAACCTGACCCCGTTGAGCAATCTCCCTCAACCTCAGACCAAGGAGACGCCACCACGATTGTGGTACAACCCGAACCATCTGATCATGAGGACTCGGATGATCAGGATGAGTTTCATGACATTCAGCACCCATATCCGACACCGGACCCCGGTCCGAGTGACTCTCAGCCACGGCGCTCAGCCCGCACTCCAAAGCCTCGCAAGCTCAGTGCTTTTTCGACCAACACTAAGGGTCAATTCCACAGCTCTTTCTTTCTCGGCAGAGAAGAAAACTTCACAGACGACACCTTCCTCCCGAACCTACGACGTATAAGGAACTTCGCACCCACAGATTTGGTCCTCAGTTCAGAGAAGGAGCCCACGCCGAGTGGAAAGCACTCCAACAGAGAGGAACCTTCAGAGCGGTCCCCAGAGACCAGGTCACGGGCAAGCTTTTGCCACTTACCTGGGTCTTTAAGTATAAGTTCGACAAGCATGGCTTTCTTACAAAGTTCAAAGCCCGTCTTTGTGTTCGAGGAGATCTTCAACAGCTAGGTGACAAGGACACCTATGCAGCAACCCTTGCAGGACGTTCTTTCCGGATTCTCATGGCCATCACCGCCAAATTCGACCTTGAGACCCGACAGCTCGACGCAGTTAATGCCTTCACAAACGCCCTCTTAGAAGACGAGGAGGAGGTCTATGTAGCCTTCCCAGACGGATACTACAGACAGGGATGGGCTCTTCGCCTCATGCGAGCCCTCTATGGCCTCCGACGGTCCCCTCTTCTTTGGCAGAAGGAACTCACTGCTGCATTCAGAGAGCTTGGTCTTACACAGTGTCCCGACGAACCCTGCATCTTCCAGAACGACTGGCTCACTGTTTTCTTCTTCGTTGACGATATTGTTTTCCTCTATCGCAAGGAAAACGAGGACGCAGCTGATGAGATGGTTGCAGCCCTCAAGAGGAAGTACGCGATGACAGACCAAGGGAATTACAATGGTTCCTTGGTATCAGAGTCCTGCGTGACAGACCCAACAGGAAGCTTTGGCTATGCCAAGACTCCTACATTGAAAGGATGGTTCAACGGTTCGACCTTCAACGGCGTGACCACTTCAGAGGAGCCCCTTCCCGTGCAACGAAGTCCAGCCGCACACAGGGCAGGCTTCTCCAGACCAAATTCAGCTATACCAGAGCAAAGTTGGATCACTGACCTACGCCGCAGCTATCACCCGCTCGGACATAGCCAAGCCAGCGTCTAAACTAGCTGAATTCCTCAACAACCCTTCCGAGCATCACTCCAAGCTCGCAGACCATCTGATCGAGTACCTTTACGCCACTAGGTATCTCGCCATCCAGTTTTCAGGAAAACCCTGCCTCGACGAGGATGTTGTTCCTCAGCTCCACGCTCAACATCATAGCGATTTCCAAAGCGCATCCGACGCTGCTTTCGCTGATGATAAAAAGACTCGCAAGTCATCCCAGGGTTCAATCCTTACCCTCTTCGGCGGCCCTATTGCTTGGAAAGCCGGTAAACAGGATACAGTCACCACTTCTTCCACAGAAGCTGAATTGCTTGCTCTCACGCACACGGCAAAAGAGACTATTGCAACCTTCCGTCTCTTTGAGCAGCTCTCTCTTAAGCTTGATGGAATTCCGACGATCCAATGTGACAACCTTCAAACCATTCGTCTTGTCACACAGGATATTCCACGCCTCCGCACAGCCCTTCGTCACGTTGACATCCACACCTGTTGGGCTAGGCAGGCATTTGAGAAAGGCCTCTATAAGCTCACTTATACGCCTACTTCCCAGATGATTGCAGACGGCCTCACCAAAGCTCTGCCAGGCCAGAAATTTGCTACTTTCGTCAAACAACTCGGTCTCGTCGATATCTCTACGTTGCTAGGGATCTAGTTTCTTTCTTCAGTTTGCACTGCCCACTAGCCAGCACAACCTGGGGGGGTATGTCACACATAGGATATCAGCCTCCAACAGTCTGACCCCTATTCACACAGTCCGTTTCACATTTCCCCACAGAAACTTCTAGGAGGCATCATCAACGCATCAGTGGCTTCCAGATGATCCGATCAGATGCTTCCATTCACTACCATTCCCTTCCATTCTCATATTCAGGCAGTCTATAAAGATCTCGCCTCTTTCCCACCTTAGATAGCAGAATCAAGAGTCTTCCAGTCCCTGATCTTTATGCCCACTTGCTCATCCTCCGTGCGATAAAGCTAATAAAGCTTTTAAATATATTAATACTATAATTATATAAGAATTAGTTTTAACTACCTTTAATTTAAAATAATATATTAAACTTAAAACTAATATATTAAACTTTACTTTAAGAGTATAAATCGGATAAAAAGATAATAAAAGAAGACTATAACTAATTATATTTTACATAAAAAATCTATATAGCGTAGAACTTAATTACCTTATTTACGATAAAGAATTCCTTATAATTATTTAAGCTTTTAAGGAATTTTAATATTACTTTCTTAAAAGTAAATATAAAGTTAAGGTCTATATAAATTATAAGAATATCTTTTACTTTATAATAATATAATAGTTAAATAGACGATAGATTTAATAGGCTAAATATTTATTAGAATTCGACTATAAAATAATTTATAAAAAAGGAATAAAATATAGTTAAGCTAATACTCTTAGTTAACGAAGTAACTATAATATAGGAGTACCTATAGTAAAAGGATAGCTTTTAAAAATTAACGAAAATAAGAACTATTAATAACGATAGCTAAATATAATATTTAAGTATAACTTAATAACTTAATATACTAAAAGATCTTAAAATAAATAAAAGAATATAAAGTACTAAATAGATATAATATAGAATATTTAAAAGTTTTAATATATAAAAATAAAATCTAGATACTATTAGAACTATAAGATAAAGCTATATAAGATATATATAAATATTAAATATATAGATACTAAGGAATCTAAAGAATAATAAAACGGATTAAACGATAATATAACTTTTTATAGCTTAAGGAAGTAGTATAATAAGTTATTAAAAAATATAAACTTTATATATAAAGTAAAGCTAAATAATATAAGCTATAAAGAGAATTATAACCGCTACTAGTATTAAAAAACTATAGGATTTAATAGCTTTTAACTATATTATAAAGCTATTACTATTAAAAGAACCTATAACTAATATTAAGTATAATAGTATATTTATTATTATTAATAAACTAACGAAATATAAATACTTCTTACTATATAAAGAAGTAAGTAATATAAAAGAGCTAGTATATATTTTCCTATAAATAATTATTAGTAATTATAAACTATTATATAAAATTATCTTTAATAAAGAAAGTATATTTATAGCTAAGTTTTAATAAGCTCTTATAGTATAATTAAGGATAAAATATAAGCTTAATATAGCTTATTACTTATAAATAAATAAATAAATAAAATAACTTAACTAAATACTTAAATAATATTTATAATACTATATTAGTTATAAATAAAACGATTAAGTTAAATAGCTACTAATAGTATAACTAGCTTATAATAGCTTAGTAATAAAAATAACTAAGCTCTTACTAGTATACGCTAATTATAGATATAACTTAAAAGTATTTAAGGATACTTAATAAGGACTATAAGTAAAACGAGCGATACTATAAGTAAATTAGCTATAAAGATTATATAAAGAAATATAATAAGAACTTTAATTTATTAAAGAATAAATATCTACTTACTATAATTAAAAAAGATTATAGGGACTAATCTTTTAAAAGGGAAATATAGTCTACTTTATATAACGAAATATTAAAATAAAACGACTAAGTAATAAATTAGATTTTAAGAAACTTAAACTATTTAAAGTTAAGAAAACTATTTTAAAAGTTAACTATAAACTTTCGCTACTAATAATAATATAGATATACCTAATATTTTATATCTTATTATTAGAACTAGTACTATAAAACGCTATATTATAAGAAAAAATTAAAGTTAATAATAATTAAGAATATAAAGTAAAATAAATACTAAATATAAGAAAATAAGGTTAGTAATAAGAATACCTTATTAAGTAAAAGGGATATAGACTAAAGGAAAATACCTAAGAACTACTTAAGTACTTAACTTATTATAGTTCTTTACTTTAATAGTTTTACTAATAAAATCTACCTTAAGTATTATAAAATTACTTAATAAACTAATAGTATTTTAATTAATTATATTAAATTTACTTATAGACTAAACGTCGACTATTACTTTAGATTCTTAGCGCTTAGCTTTATTAAGGTTATTTAAGGAATAAAGGCCTTAATAGACTATCTTAATACCCTTTATCTTTAGCTAGCGCTTTTAACGGTAAAGCTACGCTAAACGAGCTAAGGCTTTATTTAGGTCGGCTTAAGCTTTTAATATTCGCTCCTTAGTAATTTCTTCTTTTTTATTTAATTAATTAGACTCTAGATTTATTTAAGATACTAAGAAATATATTAGCTATAAATAATAAGTAGGATAATAAAGTTACCTATAAGAGCTAATCGCTATACTTAACGTATTATAAGAACGACTTTACTATATATATTTAGTATACTTAAAAGATTTCTCTAGTATTTTATAGTAAAAGCTATACGACGAATAAAAAGAATATAGTATAATATTAATATCGCGAAGTATAGCCTAATTTCGTAGTTCTTAGAGATATCTCTTAGTATAAGGGACTAAGGAAGCTAAAAACACCCGGTATAAAAGAAGGAAGAAGGAGCTAAAAAGAGGTATAGAAAGAAAGGTAGGGGTATAAGGGGAAGTAGAAGTAGCGATAGCTTCCTATAAAGGTAGCGAGAGATAAGACGGATATACTAGTAAGGGCTAGAAAAGAAGGGAAAAAACCAGTAAAAAGCTTAGTAGTTAAAAGGATATTCATAGCTTCTTTAAGTAGGATCTTCTTTATTAATTAAGATACTAAATAGGTATAAAGAAGGGCGTTAGATAAAGGAAAGAAAGAGAATTAAAGAAATATAATAATTACTCCCCTACCTTTATTACTACCCCTATAAGAATTAAATCTCTCTGCCCTACCTATCCGACCCCTTACTTTTAATTTTACCTTTATATATTTTTATATACTTCTTATATCTCTCTTTATAAGAGTTATAAGCCCGGGAGGAATAGAATTCCTATACCTTCCGGCTATTATAAAAGGCACCTTTCTTATATCCCTTATAGCTCCCTTTTACCCCTCTTACTAAAAAGGCTAATTTTTAACCGACTTTTCTACCCCCCTCTCTCTTTATAACTATAAGAAGGTATAAGCAATAAGCGTGGAATTAGGTAATCGATAACGTAGGCGAGGAGATCGGTCGAAGGAGTATAGGGTAGGATTTTATCCGGAATTTATTACGAGCATATAAGGGGCTAAATAATATATTAAAAGAATAGCGTTATAAAAGATATATACGAACTTACTTATTCTATCTACTACTCCTAGGGAAATCCTTCGTCTTTTATAGACTATTGCTTGCCTACTAGTAGACTAATTAGTTAGCTTTCTAGCACATTCTATAGTGCTTAAAAAGCTCTATCTATAGTATATCTTCCTAACTTAGTAGGTGGTCTAATTATAGCGTAATAGTTAACGTAAACTATAGGTTCTAGTATAAGTAGTAGATTTAACTAGAATGTTCTATGCCCTACCTATTCTTATATCGCGGATATCTTCGGAACCGCTAAGCTAAAATAGGCAATAGGGTATCTATTCTACTCGTAATTAGCTTATGCATTTTATATATATTTTAATTTATAAGGATAGGCTTATCTTAACCCGCTTTTCCTAGAGGAAGGTATAGATATCTAGTAGAGGTCTTTATCTTTTAAGGGTTATTCCCTTAGACTATATTATAGAGCCTCTTTTTACTAGCTTATTCTATAAAGCCTCCCTATACTTATTATTTCTTTATAATAGTAAAATAGGAATATAAGGGTATATTCTTATAATAACGATATCGAAAAACAACTCCTCTACCGTCCCTACGGTCTATAAGACGATTCTTATAGAGCCCTAAGATTAAGATAAGTAGGTAAAGGAGCTATAGGCTTATTATAAGAAGGTATAAGCAATAAGCGTAGAATTAGGTAATCGATAATATAAGCGGAAAGATCGGTCGAAGGAGTATAGGGTAGGATTTCGTCCGGAATTTATAACGAGTATATAGGGGGCTAAATAATATATTAAAAGAATAGCGTTATAAAAGATACTTACGAACTTACTTATTTTATCTACTACTCCTAGGGAAATCCTTCGTCTTTTATAGACTATTACTCGCCTACTAGTAGACTAATTAGTTAGCTTTTTAGTATATACTATAGTGCTTAAAAAGCTCTATCTATAGTATATCTTCCTAACTTAGTAGATAGTCTAATTATAGCGTGATGGTTAACGTAAGACTATAGGTTCTAGTATAAGTAGTAGATTTAACTAGAATGTTCTATGCCCTACCTATTCTCGTATCGCGGATATCTTTAAAACCGCTAGGCTAAAATAGGTAATAGGGTATCCGTTCTGCTCGTAATTAACTTATGCATTTTATGCATATTTTTATTTATAAGGATAGGCTTATCCTAACCCGCTTTTCCTAGAGGAAGGTATAGATGTCTAGTAGAGGTCTTTATCTTTTAAGGGTTATTCCCTTAGACTATATTATAGAGCCTCTTTTTACTAGCTTATTCTATAAAGCCTCCCTATGCCTATTATTTCTTTATAATAGTAAAATAGGAATATAAGGGTATATTCTTATAGCCTCCCTTAAAGAGTACTAGGTAAATAGTACTCTTTACTAGTTATTTCTTTTATAGTAGAATTATCCTTATTAAGAATAAGGTATATAATAGGAATATAAAGGAAAATTTTAAAACCC